AACCACTTGCACGAAACGCAGCTACAGCTCTCGTATACATATAACAATTTTCGTCTGGGCAAAAAAACTCACAGCTTGGTTTTTCCCCACAAAACCAAAATGTACCATTGTTTGTAGTTGTAGAGGCAGCAGCTTTTCCGTGTAGACACTCCATGACTGATGTAGAACTAATGCAGAACTATGCTTGTTACAAGACGCTTGTCGATTTTATACAGACGCTCGTTAAATCAAACAACCAATCATAGTAAGCCAACATTAATCCCTCCATTGTATCATAAACGTGGGCGACGCTAAAAAATGCGTAGTCAGCAAGTCGCCCGATCGTGTTTAAACCTGCCCGCGTGACGTCATTGCATATAATTATGACGTATGTTAATGAGTGACGTCATTACGCACCCTCACTCCACCACACTCCTCCTCACTTCTCCTCACTCCTCCTCACTCCTCCTCACTCCTCCTCAAAAATGGGGCCCGAACGGCCTCTATATTACTACTCCCATTCAACACTAAGTCTTACTTTACCTATTCCCTTGTTAAACTCTTGTTGATCAACTGTTGAATGGGCAGCACGAAATGGATCCAGTATATATTACGTGCCAGACCATATGCTGGATCACCTTATATAACATACATTTCGCCATTGGGCATCTCGAATCTTTGCAGTTGTTCTGCTAAGGGACCATTCATTAATTATGACAGGGGGTGGGCTGGCAAAAAAGTGTGTGGGTCACGAGGTATTTTTGACCAAAAAAGGCGGGGGGGGGGTCATCTAATAAAAATATTGGTTCAGAAGGGGGGTCCAGTTATTTTATTATAGTGGGGGGAAATTTGAATTTAACCATTATTGCTATCGCAGGGGCAAGCAAGACAGCAAATTTAATTAATGCAACTGGCAAAATTCTCAATTTGATCAACAGATAGACCCAAAATGCAATGCGCAAAAACCAAAAATGTAAGGTTACCTTATAACATTTGCCATAAATATTTGTCATGTTTCCCTGGGGCCGGTTGTTCAAAGTTGGGTTAGCTAATTAACCCTGGGTTAACCTAAAATTCAAAGCAAACTTCCTCACAGCTTGTCTATAAATATGGAAATATTTCTTCAGAGATCTTCTCTACTTCTCTGAAGTTTTGAAATAAACAGACGTGCAAAAATACATACAGTAAAGCAGTTGGTTAAATTTTAACCCAGGATTAGCGCTAACTTATGTACATTTAATAAAAAAGACAGTCACGATAACGAGTAAGCGATGTGGCAATTTGGCGTATACTATATACACGAGTATACAGCTATTTCAATTAAGGTTGTTCCCCGTGCAACGCGGAAAAGTCGAATACGAGCGCGAAAGGCTGCTGGGATTCGCTAATAAATAAATGAATGAATATATTAGCGATTCCCAGCAACATTTCGCGCTCGTATTCGACTTTTCCGCTTTGCTTGCGCGCGGGACAACCTTAATCGAAATAGCTCTATACTAGGTCTTTTACACATGGTTTAATTTAGTATGTAGATGATGTGTGCTATAGTAGAAAATATAATTTGTAGTGAAGAAAATACACTGAAACTGGATTCTAATTTTTAAATCAAAATTCTTCTGGCCAGTCTAAAGTTTGAAAAAGCAGAATTTGTTCCGATTTAATTGCTGAAAGCACATGTAAATTTAGATGTGATGCATGGTCATGTGTCTATGTATACATCTGTGGTGGTGGTGGTGGTGGTGGTGGGAGGCGGGGGGTCTATTTTTTAGAATTCATATGAAGGGAGTCTATGAATTTTTTGTGATGCGGGAGCAGGACATTTTGTTTACTTGTTAATCGAATTTTGCCAGCCCGCCTCCGGTCATAAATAATGAATGGTCCCTAAGCCACTCACACCAAGCATAAATGCATCATGTCTCCTCCCCTATATGGGCCCGAACAAATTTGCTATGAGGCCATTAGGAGCGTGGACCGACTGGAAAATAATTATGATGATACAATAATAATTATAATAAAAATGGTAGTAACAATAATAGTAATATAAAAATTGTAAAAAGCAAATTTTTTGCCGTGCAGTGCCACTACAAAACCTAGATGTTTTGTTACCCGGAACTTCAAGCAATAAATTATTTTGGGCCACACTATGTAAATGATTTGCTGACGGCGCGTTGCACGAGCAATTGGCCTTTCGGTACCATCAATAAAGCCCCATCATTGGGTGAGAGGTACTCCTTTAGCAAGAACAGATTGTGAAAAAATCTCGGTGTTGATCCATACCAGGTCTAAGGAGCTGAGTAAATGCTTAAACGGCCATGAATGTCATCTGTACTATCTATAAAATTGAAATATTGTGGTTTTTATATTGAGTATGCATGTGTTAATACAAAGCACAAAGATGACACAGTCCAGCATTTAGTGGGTGAGATTCATCTCGTTAGTACATGAAAATAGTAATGTTTTCTTAAACACCCATGAAGAGGAATAGAGACAAATGATATGTTAGTACCGAGTTAAAAACAAGACTCAGAAAAATATTTGGCAGGTCACACCACATGTTGGGTTAGGGCAGCCTCCGCAGCAGGATCATGAAGGCTTCCATTCCAGTTGCATTTGTTTGTTGACAAAATGACATTGACAAAATTCTGACATTGTCATTTGACAAAATTCTGGTTTCAGAAAACGGCGTTATAGCATGTCTAAATTTACATTTTTTTTATAATTTAGTACAATAAATTAGTATAATAAATCTTTATTTTATATTAGCATAAACATAGCATTTCAACTCCAACTGTTTTAATTTAGTTAACTATCTCTGATCAAACGAATTCCTACTCCAAATCACCAACATTTAACCGAGTTATTCAAAAGTTAGCTAATCTTTGAAAAAACCAAACACAAGCTTCCTATATTATCATTTCCCGCAATAAATTCATTTGCGATCGTTCTTAAATCAAACTTGTCTATCATATCTTGATGCACGTATATCATCATTAGGTGGTTGAGTCGATTATCTCCCGTGGTAAATCGGAGATTCGGAGGTAAGTTTGTAAGCGTTTTAAAGCTGAAAAGCTTCTTTTGCTAACTGTATTCGTGACTGGAGCAACTACTACAAGTTTTGCCAAAATGGTCACTTCAGACAACAGAAGCTTTTCACCTCGATCCAAATATCGACGAATCTTCAACGCGTCGGCAATATCGATTTTCCAACCTGGTAACCAGCATTTTGTGCAATTGACGCAAGAAGCTTGAGTGGGACTTCGAGACAAAATTCATTAAAATAACCTTTATACATTACCACCGTACGTTTTCTCCAATTTGTTAGCATTGTCGATTCCGTTGAAGGACCTCAAGAGAACCTCTTGTAAGTTTAATACGTAGATATTGAAGTCTTTCTGGTCAAATCGAGCCTCTATTCTGTTAATCACATTCTCGGAAGTTCATAGAAGATTTTTCTGTAGTGATCTTCAAGGGTTTCAAAGAAATGGCCGGTCGATCCCTTTTCAAATGGTTGTGAGGCTCTCCGTTTTCTCGCCAGCACAGGGTCTGCTTGCTTTCTCTGGAAAATTCTGTTTTCTTCTCATTAGTGCTTGCCAAAACATTGCAAATCTCTCGTCATTTCGTTATGTATTTATGTTATTTGTTCTATTAATATTTCTGTAGCGATTACCGCTTTATCGGCACATATCGCGTTAGGATCCTGCAGAATTTCGCTTTCCTTCTTTATATACGTCAATTTGTAGCAATGGATACCCCTTTCGTTAGATTTTTTGCATAAAAGTTGCGAAACTTAGATCTTATAGCGATATTTGCTGACAAATCGGTTTTAAACCGCCGCCTAGTGTGTTCATGCCATACAAATTTAAAATTACCAACTACAATCATTTAACGTACTAAAATACCTAGTGGATCAAACTTGCATAAAAAATATTGGACGCTGTCGTGCCGAAGCCCCGGCGGGGCCAACAACGCAAATCCAAAGGCGCACGAAAATGAAATAAATATACTTGTCTTGAAACATTAATAAACTTCATTTAATCGTTTTATACGTTTCTGATATGCCCCTAAATGTATATTCAAACACTCATTAATAATTCGTACGCTAATTGGAAAATCATATCAACCGTAATATATCACGTGCAGTGGCTTTAAACCTGATAAAACACTCCTAACTAGTATTCTTTATATATAAGGAATACTATATAGGCAGTATCTATTGTAGAATGCTAATAAAGCAATATATGAATGCTAATAAAGCAATATATCTATTGAATTTGTGGTCGTGTTTGAAGCCGTTAAATAAACTTGCAGGACGTGTTATGTACTGTTTAATAAACGAGCAGGAGTGTTTTATTAGGTTTAAAGCCACGAGCGCGCAGCGCGAGTGGCTTTAGACCTAATTAAACAAGACCTGCGAATTTATTAAACGGCTTCAAACACGACTACAAATCGTTATACTGCCTTATTTGTATTCTTTATTTAAAAAATACTAATGAGGACACGACTACAATAGATAGTGCCTTATTACTGTATTCTTTATATAAAGAATACTAATTAGGAGTGTTTTATCAGGTTTAAAACCACTGAACGTGACATATTATGGTTGACATGATTTGCCAATAAGCTTATGAATTATTAATGAGTGTTTGAAATTAGGTCTAAAGCAGGGTCTAAAGCCACTCGCGCGCTTTAAACCTAACAAAATACTCCTGCTTGTTTATTAGACAGTACATAAAACAATTATTGGATTCGGCTTTCGCATAACATCAAGAATCAGCTTCGCTTAGGCAGATAACATTGTGTGGGAAATGTTTTCACACGCAAATAAAGTTATTCTGTTCGTATATTTACTTCAAAATTATTACAATGTAAAACCAAACCTAAACATGTCCTCCATGTGTATTTTTGTCCCATCGTTCACTGGGGACCGTGCACCACAGGTCACCCAAACCGGAAACTCAAATTAATAGATTTTCAACACTCTCCCCCTTTCTTAGCTGAAAGGCTAAGAAACATTTAACTGTTTAATTGTCCTTAGAGTCTGCAATATCACTTATTATCTGTCCGATCTTTTGTAACGCCTTTGTTTTCGCCGCTCTCGATTTTCTTGGCTCAAATGCTTTCGCCTTTGATTCAATGCTTCGATTGCTGTGATTTCTAGTTGCACTTGCCAACTCCAACGGGTATAGATGTTGAAGTTGTCTTTCCTTTCTTCCATTACCAGTTTTAAGTATGGCACCTCGAACAACTCCGTCCTTTCCGGCAATCAATTTCTCAACTACTCCCATTTTCCACAGTCCTCTATTCTTTTCTTCACCTTGTAGAAGCATAACATCACCAACGTTTATCTCCGACTTCTTACCAGTCAATCGTCCATGACGTTCTCGCAACGCCCTTATGTATTCTGACGACCATCGTTTCCACATTACATCCTTACACCGTTTTAGATATCTGGCCCGCTTAACCATTACCTTGACTTCGACTTGTTCGTCAGGATCTTCCTTGTTCGTCAGGATCTTCCTCATTCGCTCGAAAAAACCGCTCCACCATGGACTCCTTGCGAGATTAAACTGCCAATGGATTTCACGCCGAGCGACGTAATCGTTAACGACTTGACTACGTTTCAGTTTTCGTAACCACTTTGCGATGACGACGAACGTTTTAGCGTTGTCACTAACCTCAGCCGACTCTTTAATAACTGGTTTATGTGGCAGATAAAACTTTCTCTCCCCTGTAGGTTGCTCAGGAGCCTGTTCAACAATTCCTTGCTTCATCTGCTCTTCTATTATGCCATGGTACTGCGCCATAACTTCGGGTTTCCTCTCAAGGGGGGGGGGGGGTGTGGTGGGGAAAGCTGAGCTCCTTACTTTTACTTCTGGGGGCTACAGATTCCTAGCCCCCCTCCCTGTTCCGCCACCCCTGACCACTTGTATTCAGAGGCAGTTCCGCATGGAAAAGATTCATAGTTGTCCGAGAAATCGTAGGTGCAGAAACGCAACAAACAAGACGGATCATCCGTCAAGACTGGATTAACTCATTTTTAATTTGATTTTTTAAAAAGGTCGCCCCCCAGGAGATTCGCCCCCTCCTCTCAAAAGGGGGGCGAATACCCTAGGAATATCGCCTCCCTCCTAGGATAAAATATCGCCCCCCCTAGGATATTCGCCCCCCCCCCCATATATGCGATGTGGTTTATTCAAATAATTTCGTGATACTTTCATCTTAGTAATAGTAGTGCCTTACACATTTGAGAATTTAACTTTGCAAAACTAAAACTTTTTTGTCTTTTTTGAAACGTATTATTGGAGTATTGGCAAGTTTTTTACCATTCAGAGATTTACAAACTAATATTGAAACTGTAAAAAACAGTTTCATGTATACGCGCATTCACTAATGAGTGATGACAGCTTATAAGCCATACATTTTCCGATAACGACAAAACGCCATACATTTTCCGATAACGACAAAACCCTTGGCCACAGAAAAAAGATCAGTACCAGAAGGGCCACTCAGCGGTGCAACGTGTCACCATTTTTCTATGCAAAAATATGCAATTGACTGGCCAGGAAGATGGCGGCCAGCCAATACAGCGCGTTTATTGGCCAGAAAATGTAATCGACTGGCTAGGAAGATGGCGGCCAGGGTGCCCTTCTGTGTGTCTTATTCTGTGCCTTGGCGCCGCCACTGAACAACGTGAACCGAACCACCAATGAATTTAACCAGCATACTTATCCTAGCCTGCTTGCAGCCTCACTTTTCCATAATTTATCCTGATACTTATGTTTCTTGCAAAGTGAGAAGGGGAAGGGGGACTGACAATAATAATGTATTGTGACATAAGAGCCTCCATGCGGAGGAGGCAGTGCATACATGACGTTACCTCGGCAGCAGTCATGAACATCCGCTTGTCTTGTGGTGGTGAGAACGAGGTCTCGTAAGAACAATGGCGACAGAAAAAATGTCAAATCCGGCCAGCGAGAGATGAAGGTGTGTCGGTGTGATATATCATTTTATATTGTTTAAATATCACAGTCTACTTAAAATGCTCTCAAGAATATGGCAGGCAAAAATATTAGTGTAATTCGCTGTTTTGAGGATGCCGAAGATACCGGAATACTCGAGTTGTGTGCTCGAAATTTGAAAGAGTTTCCCGAACACCCTGAAGAATGTGAATTAATAGACGTTATCGAATGTGGTTAGTACTTTGTATTTTATATATCACACATTTTAACATAATCTAAGTAGTTATTAACTCAGAAATCTTGATCCTTTTCAGATATTTCAAAAAATCGCTTCACTGAGTTACCTCCGGTAATATGTGAATTTGTAATGTTGGAAAGATTAAATTGTCACCATAATTCTATAAGATCTGTACCAGACACAAACCGTCTTACGTCTCTGACATGGCTTAATCTTAGGTAAGTAAATTTTTATTTCTCAAGTAAATACCGAAAATGAAGTTTACGATTAGACGTGCATAAATAATTGCAAAATAATGACCAAAACAAAACATGTTAATAAATTATAAAAAGCTTCCTTGTTCAATATTAACTGAATGTTAAGGTAACTTTTCAAGTTTTACGTTATTTTAATAGTTTTATTCAACAGTGAATTTAAGAACTGACATATCTGTTGTTTGACATGTAATGTAGAGTCAAGTATCTTCCCTTTTTAGGTGACTGAATATGTGAATATCAATATTATAATGTTGTTAATTGCTTGCTGTTTCAACATCAGACCTTGCATTTTGTATGAAGTAGGAGAGCAGTTAATTGCTCTCCTGGTTTTGCCTATTATCTAGAGTGATAGGGACTAACAGTCACCCCAAAACTGCCATAAGATATTGAAATGTAATATTAGCCCATTGAACACCTGAGTGCTATCCATGAGTAAAATCATGAGGTGTTGGACAAAGTAAAATAGTGAAGTAGGGCACATTGGGGTGCAGTGCAACTTAATAGGTTAATCAATTACTTGACCTGGTATAGACCCATTGCACTGACGTCACAAATCCTTAGAGTGTCCTCCAGATGCTCCCTAACAATATATGTTCTAGTACAACAACCACATACAGCGCAAAAATTAACCATTTTAATACAAAATTATTATAAAGTTTTGCAAAATTTGCTTTGTTTACAAAAGTTATATTATGCATAGATTGCTAATTTGTCTGCCAGATGCATTGTCACCGGCGCTGTGACGTCATGTGCAATGGGTCTATAGTAGCAACCAAGGTGTGCTGTAAAGAGTGATCATGCACTTCCAACATAGGGCCAGTGGCAACTTGGTTATTTATGCCCAACTTTAGCATTTTGTTCTATTCAAGAACCACTCTGTTGCTATGTCTAGCTTTGTCACTGAATTTTTGACATCTTTGAAATAAATTAAGAATGGAATGACAAACTTTAAGATACTAAATTATGGTGGTTCTTGGTCACATGTTTCCCATAATATAGTCCATTGTTTGATTACAGAGTCAGCAGCTCACAATTTGCAAATGTAAAATTAATTCTCTTTTTGCAAATGCAAATGCAAATACAAAATCATCCATTTTGATGTTTTGAATAACGTTTTGCAAAAACAATGTATTCATGTTTACATATTTTGCTGACTATTATTGTAATTTTGTGCTAAACGGATGTGTGAAATTAACTCTACAATTTCTTCAGAAAATTTATGAAATTCACTACAAAGTGGCTGCCATTTTGTTTTGTGCAAGCAATATTTCTGAAGGAAATTGCAAAATTTGATTTTCAAGAAGGAAATTTACGAATCAATTTTTCCTCATTAACTCGAACCCTGGATTATGTGCTTTATCTTTTTATATAATACAGTGAGTATAAATATTTATGGCACAGGGATCTGCTGGCAATCTAGAGCAAAGATCAGTTTACATCTTGAAAATGTTTTCTACATGTCATGTATAATTTCCCTAAAACCTTCACAAAACCAAAGGTTTCCTTGCATCCTTTTTTACAATCATGGTCCCTCATGTAGTGGTCCATGGTTGAGTAGCTAATCAGAATACAGAATTTGTAATAGACCATGGTTGAGTGTATACCAACACTAGACACCCACATTAACAGAAAAACCCACTAATGCACAGCATTGTTCAACATTGTCTGGCATTCAACAGAACAAAATTAAAACAGATCCAGATGATGGTATCTGGTATATGGTAAAAAATAGACATTCGGGGGTATCCAGCAAAATGTTGGCCGGTTTTTTAGCAGGTAATACTGGTACTCTTATGAAACCGCAAAAAGTTTCTTTTGTCTTAAAAAAATTTGTGTGTTAAGAAATTGTGGAACAATTATGTTCCTGTTTCACAATGGCTCTTCTCTAACCAGTTTACTGTGAAATCTGCAATCAAAGTTACAGTGGGATTGACTTTGTTGGAAATTTCCTTTCTACTGTAACTGCATTCAGGTACAAATTAGCTTGCACAGCTAGTGGTTTTAAAGGGTTGAGGCATGGGACCAACCTCTTAAAACCACCTGCTACTGTACACAGGCTAGGTACAAATTACAAGAAGCCAATTTACATCAGTACAAATGGAGTTGGTACTACCGTTTGCTCTGCAATTCAGCATTTTTCAGGTATGATTAAAAAAATCTCTAACATGCTGAAGAATCTAAATGCGAGCAATCTTAGACATCTATCAGATCCCCTTATGTTATATGCATGCCTGAGTGGAGGATGCAAACACTGTGTGACTATAGATCAGCTAGAGACATTATATGTTAGCTGAAATAAATGACTCAACACTGAGCACAAGTCTGCGAGCAGAAGGGGTAAACCAATGTCATTATCGTGGAATGGGACAAGAGTGGTCGCCTGGAAGTGAGAAGTACCTTCCAATCTGATCACTACAGTAAACCAACGCCAATCTTCACAGTTTGAAACGAGAGTAATTTGGAAAGTGTAAGTCTGGATTCACTATTGAAAAAGAATACAACGTGAGAAACTCTCTGAGAACCCTACCTGGTTGAAAAGACTCAAAATACAAAAGGGTGAGAGTCGAATAACAGCAAGGGCCGAGACACACTGGATGCGATTCGACAACGCGGCGTGATTTTTCAGTTTTTTAAAGAAAAATCGTACCGCTTTGTCGAATCGCGTCCGGTGTGTTTCGGCCTTAAGGCCTAGAAAATATATTTCTCTTCTTGGCAGGAAAATCCAAAGATAAACATTTCCTGTGTAATTCAAATATAAAATCAAGAAACCTGAAAGAATATGGATCTAGCATACTCAATCAGCAATCATCGAAATTTGACCAGAATCGAAGGCAACTCAAGTGAATTGTCAAGACATTAGAGCATTGAGGAAGATTCGAAGCATGTTGTCCTATGTGCTGTATTTGCTAAGAAATACTGTTTTCACATGAAAGCTAATAGAGAAGATCCAGTGTTGGACCATACATAGTGGCACTGGACTACAGTATGTCAGCTGTACAGTAAGTAATGGAGAATAAACCATACAATCTTGGTGAGAAATTCCAGCTGTTGATCTTCCTTTAGTTCAACTAGCAGAAGATTGTGCTGTGGGAATTGACGTTTCCGGGTCTACCCGCCAATTTACTATCAAAACGTGGCACCTTCCCATCCCTGATATGAGCAAATATTGACTGTACTGACATATTTTATCACATTAGCTCCCTTGACAGTACACCCAACTGTTTCTTGGCCAGGACTGTCTCATCGCTGAAACCACTGTCAACTTCCCGGGATGTTGGACAAAGGTGTTCTCGAAAATCTATTTTCTCTTCACGCGTCTCAAATGCTGTTAGATACCTCCTATAGGAGGAGAGCAAGGATATTAAGCAAGAGAAGCTACCAATGAATCTGTTAACCAACGTGTTGTGCTCATGCTGGTTCATGCGGATTTGAAGAAATGCCTTCCAAATGTCAATGAACACAAGCACAGGAAGTTAACACTGGTGAATTGTGACATTCCACATTTTTGTACGAGCGGAGCAGGATAGTGACTTCTGGAGACATCCATTGAGGGATTTTGGAGTCGTGTTGTATGTCAAGAAGATTGATTTGGGATAATTTCAATAAGTCTTTTCATTAGTTGGTCTTTGGTGATCTGCTTATATTCAATGGTTTTTTCGTCGAGGCTCTAATCTCTTGCTTATAGATTGTTTAGCCGATGTACACTAACATGTATTTTCATTCAATGGCCAGTGAAGTCTGGTGATGGTTCGATGCTAATTGGTGCTATGTTCGATTGAATCGGCCAATCCAAGAACGTCTGAAGAACTAGTCATTCTTCTCTTTCTTAGTAAAAAACACGTGTTCGTCATCAAGTTCTCGAGCGGGTTACATGGTAAACCATCCTAACTTCGCATTCTTTCCCGATGCATGATTCGCTTTCTTTGATTCTTGACAATTCATTGGCTTAATCTTTGCCATGTACGTTTTCAACGTTGATATATCGAGAAGCCAATTAACACGTCAGCCATCTTGGCATCATAACTCATAAGATCTGACTCGTCCCCAGTCGTCTCTAAAGGTCTTGGAAATAGAGCTCGAGAAATTGCTTGAAAATTTAAAACACAAATTTAAAACAAATGTAAAAGTCAAAGCAATACCAAGAGCGAGTGAGATTTGAGATATTGCACTCTTTCTGATATGCTTTAATAGATCAAAGTCAAGAGTGGGCAGTAGCGAAGTAGTTGTAGGTCGAGTAGCGAAGTAGCGAGTAGTTTTTTACTACTTTTTAAAACAGTTGGTGTAGCAAACTACTTTTTGTCGGGAACCAACGTTGATTACTTTTCAAGCAACAGTTGCTATTCGCTACTTTTCGAATTTCTTATCAACCGACTATAGCAAATCTCACTGCCAGACTGCGTGCATATTTTTTGGTCCTTTTTGTCTATTTCCAGATATATCAGAATCTCAGAGTTTGATATTTTGCATAGCCAGTACTCAATCTCACAATCTTCTAATTACCAAACCAGCGATCGGCCTGAGTTCTCTTATAGCTCGTTTGACCGTATTTGCACACAAAGACGGACCATCCTTTAAGACAACCTGCGTACGCAAGTCTGCGTAGACGAATTTTCCAGATATTTTGTCTTGACGAATGATCCGTGTGCTTTCCGTTTATGTCTGTGACAGTGGTTGATATACAGTTGGATTATCAGACAGACCCTCGTTTTTACCCAAGTTTGTGCACAAATTTTCAATACTTAATAAACTATGCAAACAGGGCAACAACGGCGGTCGAGGGGCCACAAAATACGCTGTTTTCACGAGGTCTCAGTAAATAAGTGTTTTATTGTATAGCCGAGTGTCAAAGTCTCAAAAATTCACCTGGTATTCCGAAACTGTAATAAAACCGACCGGCAGACATGCTGAAACTCTTGAAAAACTTTGCTTTGAACTTGCTGGTTGACGCGAGCAGCTTGCGCCTCACTTGTGGTTTTATTATTGACTTGTTAATAATTGTTTCGTTGTTGACCGGTTGTCTCCTCACCAAAGCATGCAGTGAACATGACGTTTTGTGGACCGGCACGTGATATGGGTTTGTCCAATCGGCAAACAGGAAAATTGAACTTGCTTGCTATATAATAGTTGCTGTTTAGTTTAGTTTAGTTTAGTTTACTAATACGTTTTTACGGTTTTAGCCGCTTTGATTTAATTCATTTGGCTTTGCCTAATTGCCTTGAACAATGCGCTACGTACAAATTGCATAATTATACATGCAAGGCTAGCAAAACCGCAACAGCTGAGACCAATTATTGCGGATCCTTAAAGTTTGGAGTTTGGGTTTACCACTGTTCTTGCCGTTCGAAGAATTAGTTAAAAATAAGAAAAACATATAACCATTAGTGGCGTAACTGGAATAGAGCCCCTGGGGAGATGGACACGTCAAAAAAGATGCAAAATTTGCTGATATATATACACATCAACTTCGCCACTTCGTACTTTCTCGTACTGAAATAGAAATATGGCAAAAAGTTTGCAGTTAACCCACCCTTAATTAAACTCAAGATTAAGCTGAGGTTAGCTGGGGTTGTTAGAATTCAATTGAATGTCTGAAGGAGATCGAGGTCTTGACGTGAACACGGACGTCGTGAATACATAATGCGTCGTTAATGCAGCTTGTCTTCAAAATCGACATCTATGCAGTTTCCTGATTTCAAAGAGGAATGAAAGGATTTCAAAGAAGCAAGTGTCGCCATCTATGACGCTTTATTTATGTACACCTGACGTTCGTGTTGACAAGATCATCACCAGCTTAAAAATATATCAATTCATGAAGAAAAGACAAAGGAGATCAATACCGTGTCCATGCTTTCATATTTGATAAAACGTCATATTAAGTTGAATGAACTTCAGCTACAACCGGATCAAAGGAGAATGCATAAGAGTTGGCAGTCACGTGACCCTGGTTAGCTGTTCCTAATGCTTCCCAACACTATCATATATTCTATTTAAGTTAAAGCATATTTCGCCAATGGGCTTTATTTCGCTAATGAACTTGGCTGTCGCCTCGTGTTTTATATCTGATACTAAAACATTCCTGCTCGTGTTTTAAATAGTACTTAAGCTCGTTCACCCTCTTATGAATGGCTGTCCGCATAGTATTCTTTTATTTCACTAAACGTGCTCGTCTTGCTTATGTTCTGTTTCTTTTATAGCAAAAATCAACTACAGAAATTACCAGAGCATATATGTTGTCTACCTCTACAAGTTTTAATTGTCAGCAATAACAGATTATCATGTATTCCTGATGAAATTTGTTATCTAAAGCATATACAATATTTGGTAAGTTCAAATTACAATATGTAGAAATGTTTCTTACATGATGTATGTGTACCTTGGTGCTGTGGGAGTTCATACAGTAGACTGAGGGGGTTCATAGAGTGAGGGGGTATAGACTGAGGGGGTTCATAGAGTGAGGGGGTATAGACTGAGGGGGTTCATAGACTGAGGGGGTTCATACTGTTTCAATATCCGGTTCCAAAAATAGAGTCGGTGAACCTACGGTTCAGAACCAATTGGAACTATTTGATTGATTGATTTTTTAAAACTCTCTGGAAAGTTAGCACCCTTGAAGATACTTTAGATTTTTTTAAAGGAGGGGTGAAAATTTTCTAGTGGGGTGCAAGCGGCACCACTGAGCGAGCTTCGGCAGGGTTTAGGCGTTAGGGTTAAAGACTCGCACAAAATAGGAGGGATGAAGCGAAATTTTGGTGAAGGGATAGAGAGATTTTATGGTTCGCTTACAATATTTGACTTGCCAATGAACCCATACTTTTATACTGCACCAACAACTGCCACAGTACAAGGCAAGCGTCGCTAAACACAGGAATGGGGTTCGAATAGGATAATGATGGATTTTTTAAGTAAATACAAAATTTCCATGCTCTACAGGCATAAACTAAACCCTTTCACGACCATACAAGTCAAAATCGTTCATATATGAACGTCCACTTGAAAGTTTAAAACTACTAGAAGCGTACTATATTTGGGTACTTTGTAGCCTAGATTTAACAACAAACACAAACTGTGCTATTGTACTGCTTTTTAGAATCTGAGTTCTAATGAGTTGACATCGTTACCAAGTAGTATTGGTGAATTATCAACGTTGAGAGAATTAAATGTTCATCAAAACCATTTAGAGCAACTGCCTGATGGTAAGTTTATTTTATTTAATACAGCTGCCGCACTTGAGCAAAAAATAAGGTGCGGCTAATATAAGTCTCGAAACGACAAGTTTATACATGCAGATAATTCTATTGTGCAACCCTGGACATATTTTAGTCACGGATTATAAGTAATAATATGTGGTGCAATCACAACACTATTAAGCCGGTATACGAACGTAGAGGAAACGACCTGGGTACAAGATCGATGCTTTACAAAGTGTTTGTTCTGTTACGTTTTGGAAATGACTAGTTACGTTTGATAAGGTCGCTAGGCCAATGACCAACGAAATTCCATTTTGACCCTTGGGCTATTATTCTGCGAACCCAGACGTAATTTCCTCGTTTCTCGCTCGTTATTTTCCAAGCGAGAAACGAGGAAATTACGTCTGGGTTCACAGACTATTGGGCTATACGAGGTTTTATATTTTTAGATATTCCGCAATTCCAGTCGCGGACACTTAGTAAAAATTTGTCCCATTGAATTAAGTTCAACATATGCGCGACTACCTTAAGTTGGTGGAAATCTCAGTTCTACCCCCCCCCCCCCCCCCACCCCATTGTCCGCCATTTACTTAATTTCAACAAACTTTTTCTTGTTTTGTAGAAATATGCAAACTAAAGTTAGAAAAACTGGACTTCTCATGTAATAGAATAACAGTTATTCCAACTGTGTTTCGATTTTTAACAACACTTAGTGACTTGGTGTTAGGCAATAATCCTCTTCAGTCGCCGCCAGCTCAGGTGAGACCTTACGATGTGAGATGGTAACCAGGATGAGACTGCATGAGAGTTTCCAGTCACGTGACCTTGATTAGCTATTCTTAATGCTTTCTCGACACTAGGATGTAATATTCTATTTAAGTTAAAAATTAGTTGGAACACTCATGCATCAAACCTTTATTTTGTTAATCTAGAGCTTGAGACGTCCCCTGTAACAATGCATGACTGCTAACTCCCATCTTCCTTTGTCCGGGGCTTAAATAATACAATGAAATTCATAATATTTGAGAAAAGAAATATGGAACTAAAATCCCCACAGGAGTTTTAGGCATCGTCCATGTATGCTCTGTTTAACAATTTGTTGAGAATTCTACAACGTTTTAAACACAACAGTTCTATGTAGAAATAAGTAGAATACTCAAATGGACAATATCAAGCACGAACGAGACATAAAGTCCCATGCAAGGTGCTTACCATTCTAAAACTATACAAAACAATAAAATAGAACAAAATACAAAACAAAACAGCACAAACATGAAACACAGTTATTTACTAAGTTCTATGACATGGACAGTCACGCACTAATGACCATGTACATGGCATTTCTATGTCGAACATTGAAACATTGAACATTTATATAACGGCAAGCCACAGATGTATCTGCGCGCACACGCAGCCCATCTTACTAATGTATTTATGCAATGTGATTATGGTGTTGTTCAATGTGGCAGTATGAAATCGGATAAGACGCTAGAACCTATAAAAACGCTTATAGTAAAAACGAATCTACCACATTTTGGAGGCTTTTACTCATGATTGTATTGTCTAGTATGCTATCGCACTAGAAATCGCAGCCAAAATTGCAAGTGAAAACGAGCCTTTAGATCTTAAACATTTTCCTTCAAAAATCGGTTATATAGTAATAAGATGAGCAGTAATATGGATGACGTCATTACGATTTTATAAACTGATTTGTTTGTTTTCTCCAGCTATGCACAAGGGGTAGAGGACATATTTTTAAGTATCTTGCCATCACGGCTCAAACACATGATAAGGTATGTAAAAAGAGAATAAAAGTTTTTTGTTTTTATGGAATATTTACTAATTAATGGACGTTATAGGGCTACATGGCACACTTAATATAGCGATCTCTTGCATGCTAGACGTAAAAATATGTAAAAATATAAGACTTTAGTGCAACTTTAAATACATTTTCACCAACTAATCATAAAAATATCTAAAATGACAAAATTCAGGAATATTTGCATATACTTTAAACGAGAATATAATTTTTGTAGGGAAAAGATGCGATGAAAAAGTATAGTTTATCTCATCGGGATGCTGACAGGTAATTATTACGGTTCTGACAAATTGCTGATTTGAAGATAAAGAATTATCGGGTCAACCATGAAGGGGAGGTTGGAGGGGGGCAAAGATCTTTTATCCATTAATGTTCTCTGATAACAAAATGAGCCATGGGTATTGATTGTAAAGTGGCAATGGTGGAAGGCAATATTACAGAAATAATTTCTGTTTCAGCATTTTAACCGAGGCAAATCTTCTTCCAACTCGAAAAGATGAACAGAAATCGCAAAAGGTATGAATAGTATCCATGTTAAATTAATTTGATTGCGGTTAAGGTTTTCTCAAACTTTTCCTGTTGTTAAAAGTCAATTTAATACCGCTAACGGTAATTTCATGGACTTAAAGTTTGTTGTCAAAACTTGTTCTCTTGGTCAAGTTTTGAAAATTCAGTCCACAATAAAGTTGTTTTCGAAAATACAAGTGCCATATTTAAAATACGCGGGCGATCAGACCCTGAACTATACAAGTTTGTCGAAATACTGGGTTGTGTCAATATCAACCTATCGATCATTTTTCGTTACTCTTTCTATTCCCTGGTATTAAATAGTCAACTTTGTCACCTTAAATAAAATTTAATTAATCCTGTATAAAAACAAATCTGGTGATCTTAGCCAACGTGTGGATTTCTTAAAGTGTGTGTATCCGTGTTTTAATTAATGACGTAATTGTCGTAATAGACTGCTGTTTATTACACTCTTGCCTCAATTATCTGGTTTTCATATGGTTATTCCCTCATGTTTCGAGCACAATAGGTTTAAGGATAGGGAAACATATTTGTGCAGGAAACATGGGCATATGCCATAGAAATATTAGACCTAGAATGCGTGCTTGGTCACGTGACCGGTGTCCAATTTGAGAACAAAAATGCCCTTATAAATCCGCCATGTTGAATTTGAGCAGGAGTGAAAACTACAAAGTATATTTAAAAACAAAGCTAAAACTAAGTTCACATCGTCAAAACGTTTTGTCTTGCTGTCTAATTTGTAGTTTGAGGAAAGATTTTGAAATATTTAAGTTCTTTTAGCTCAAAGCGAATGTGCCGTTAAAAAAACGGTGAAAATCATGCAGCCTTGTAAAAACAAAGTAGTTTCGCGTAAATATAATTTACTCGTAAAACATTTTTGCATGCTCTGAACGTAACTGTTTTGCTAATATCTTATGAAATTACGGAATGATAGTTCATTCTTCGTCGGCTTTCATTTTTGTTGCATGCCATATATGGCATGCAACTTTCATATAGCTCTAAATTTCGTGTCGTGGTCGTGAGCGGCGGTGAGCGGGGAGCGGGGGTGAGCGTACCAGTCACGTGGTAGATTCGTAAAAGACGACTAATACCGAGTTTTTCCGACGAGAATTTTCATGCTGAGTTTTCGTCGAGGAAACGCAAAGAAATATTGATTATTTGCCGAAAATTTACATAATTGAGCGCTTTAGAAAATAGGTCGAGGTAGGTAAAGCTTTTCTGTTTTTAACTTACCTTGTATTTTGTTATTTGTTGTGATTTTGGAGCCGTTGTGCTCGCACTGATTATCAGGCGTTTATTTATATTCATATATCGTGAAAGCCTCAAAGCCCACGCTATCAAAACACTCAATTTTTATATACTGAAACGGAGCCATTGTGCTCGCACTAATTATATACTGTGCAAAGCTTCAAAACTACAGCACATTTTGTAAATAACATGAAATATACAATAAATATCAAACAAAATTTGAATTATAAATAGTATTGAAATTTAATACAACGAAATAGCAACCATTGTGAAGTACGCATAAGATTCAACATGACATTCAGCATGACATTCGATATAGTGTAAATTAACTCCTTTCAATCACTCAAACGACCATACAGGTCATATTAGCTGACTAGTACCTTTATGCTTTTTCTACGTCGACAATTTCAATCATTATACAAATAATGAATGTTTATGTGTGCAATGGTAAGAATATTTTCATGAGGTGAAAGATGGAATGTTCCATTCAACGAGGCGACAGCCGAGTTGAATGGAACATTCCATCTTTCTCCGAATGAAAATATTCTTACCATTGCACGAATAAACATTCATTATTTGTTTTATATAATACCAGAATAGACTAATATTAAAAAGTTTACTGTAAGCTTCCTCCATTTTGACGAGTCGTATTGGCATTAAATCCCATTTACTCATGAGTTTCGAATATCGGGTTAAAATAAACTGCGATCACCGTACGAGAAGCATTTTGACGGATGCGATTTATCGAAAACACAAAGAGTGCAATGGAATAAAACGTATAGTACAATTGCACTCGCAAGAGTGCAATGGAACGTATTCCATTGTACTCTTGGGAAATGGAATTTTCTATTCAATATCACGTGACCATAAACAGCCAATTAAACTATCAGAATGCCTTCAATGAGATATTATATAAAGTTTAATTAACAATCAGTTTCAATCTACTATAGTAATTCACCGTTTCCACGTTTTTTTATACGTTTTAAAAGATGCAATCAAGCTAAATCTATAGGAAATAACGTTTAATATTTAGTTATAAATTTGTGAAGGAAATCTAACAGTCAATCGCTTTCGATAAAACCTTGACCGACCTTGACCTTGTTATTTCCGTCGCTTGCAACTAACGATGAACGGTCGCTCATAAAAACATTGCCTATTCGTGTGAGAATCTTAAGTTTCTTATTTTGACATAAAAGCTATTTTTCAATAAATATATTGATATTATTAAACTTGTTGAATCAATATTTTAAGTTTCACGCCAGTTGTACCAAAGGTTATAAGTGCTATAGCGCATCATAAGTCTCAGAAGGCATGCAACATGTACGCATTGCGTACCTATTTTTCTTCAATCTAATCGAAGTGTTTTCATGTTTTTGAAACAAAAATATTTAAACTGTAAATCGCCTAAATAATCGTCGAAAACTATATGGTTTCAAAAGCGTTACCTCAAGCTCAAGCAACGTAGAAAAATATAAAAAGTAGTTGTGTAAGTTTTTCAAAAGATTATTGAACTCCATTTATATTATAAAACAGTTGAAATATTTTTAGAACATACTTGTTGAGTTTGAGTTTGTCTTCATCTTTCGTGTTTTGTTTTCGCTTGCACAACAACCTTGAAAATGTATTCTTAAACGACGATTTCTGTATATATTCTGTTCAGAACTATTACTTTTCGTAAAAAAAAACGCAACGGGAATGGGTTTTTCTTCTTTCTAAAACTTTTTTCCACTTTAACTCTCGATATAATTGTTTTTGCAAAATTTTTTGAAAAAACCCAATTCGCACTCCCCGCAACCGCGCGAAATTCCTTGCCTCAGGATTATGGGACTAGTCAAAATGCCCTTATAAATCCGCCATTTTGTGGAGACAAAATTTTTACTGAGAAAAGATAGGAGCACGCATTCTATGTCTATTATTTCTATGGCATATACTATACGCGCCTTCATTTGCGCCTGTCATGTTAAAACAGGCAAACATGAAAACGAGGCCATCGGGGCATATGTGCAATAAACAGTAAAGTCTATTTTTGTGTATTTCTCAGAATTCTCAGATTGATGGTAGAAACAGTGATAAATCAAGAAAAAATCCACAAAGAAGTTCTTTACTTGGGATTGAACTAACACGAGCTCATCAATTACTCACAGAAGAACGTCATTTTGATCATGTGGGCCACAATGATACACTAAATACTGAAGATAATTCGAAGGTAGGTATAATGGTATAAAATTATTTAATAATCTTTATCAGATATATTAAACATTAACAAACAATTAAAACTTTTTAATACATTATTAACGTACAAGAATTGAGAACCGCCGTTTCAAGCAAATTTTCCTTGTAAGACGTTTTTAGCAGTGTTTCCAACAGGGGCAAATATTCGTGAACATATCGATCGTACCTGTATATTTCAAAACATCAGATCTGCATGTACTTGTTTGTTTGACCTAGCGAGAACGTGCCACAAAAGATCTGCTTTTGTTCCAAATGATACTCATCCATATACTTGGAGACATTTATGTACAGTGGAAGTTAGAATCGTTTTAACATGGACCAGGACAAGTTAATTTTTCGTTCCAGTGTTTATAATTCAGATTTTGTACACATTTCCTCTGCTGGATGTGTTTTCTGTAAAAACTACTAACAATGAAGGAATGATTATTACTATGAAGGAAAGATTTCTTCTGTACTTGGAGAATTCTTATTCAGTTTTTGATTTTACAACGTGAGTATATGACCCCTGTACCCGATGTGCCTGCGATATAAATCATACAAGTGGAAAAAAGCATTTTTCTTTCATGATGAACTGTATGTCATGTACTGTGTTTATATAATTTCTAATTGTTATTAACAACTATAAAAATGCAGGTGTTCTTTGAAATTGCAGTGGTGCGATTATTACTATAATATGTTTTTGCACACATTATATATAATAATGGTGATTTGGGTTCTTTTGTAACATAAGTTAATTTCATGTGATATACTACTGATTTACTATATGACAAAAGTGTATATGTACTATTTGAAACATGAGCAGCCGATCTTTATCTGATATACAAACTCGAGCCGAAGGCGAGAGTTTGTATATCAGATAAAGATCGGCTGCTCATGTTTTAACGTATTTAAAAAACGACCCATCTTATGAGTTCATTGGCGAAGTAATTTTAAAAATTAACATTGTCTAAGCCGAGAATATCAAAGCTGAAGTTTATGTAAATCAGGACAAATCTTTATCCGATTTACAAACATTGATTAAAGTGCATATGACATGAAATTTCTTATTTTCTTAAACGAAAGAACTCTTTAAGCTGTAGTGTAACTTATTTTTCAGTTTCTTGTTTTTATGGTTTGTTCCCGAGATATTTCAGTTTGTTTGATATGTAAATGAGTGTGAATATGTCCGCTATTTTATGACGTCACGTTGGTTGCAAGCTCAACTTACACTGGCTATAAATCTATTAACTCTAAAAACTGTAGACATCTGTTCACGTTTTTCTACAGTGTTTCATCACATTTACCAGTGAGTGAAGTTTGAAATTATCATCTTGGATGATAGCAGTGATATTCAACCATTTTGAAGAGCTTGCAACCAACATGACGTCATAAATTAGCGGACATATTCACACTCATTTACATATCAAACAAATTGAAATATCTCGGGAACAAACCATAAAAACAAGAAACTGAAAAATAAGTTACACTACAGCTTAAAGAGTTCTTTCATTTAAGAAAATAAGAAATTTCATAACATTCATTTCTTTTGAATTTTCTTCATGAATTATTAATGAGTATTTTAAGGGATAATTAACCGATGATTTATTAAGAAATACATATGTGAATATATGGAACATTCTAGAGTAATGCTTACCTTGTTTCATCGTTCAGGAGTTGTGTGCCAAACATACAATTATTTTTTCTAGTTCAGTTCATCTCCTGGATCAGCTTTATAGATTTTGGTATCAAAGGTGGAATTTATCAACCTCGTGTGACATTTTATACAAGAAAATAATATATGAATTATTTAAATATTGGATATCTGAATTAAACTGCAGAGATAAATGTTTAAACCATTATCACAAAATATAAATCCAAAGTTTTTACATCATGTAATTCGTAGGGATAATGTGCAGACGATAATGCGCACTAAAGTTAATAATACAAATTATGGGAAAGATTTGTAATTATTTATAAAAATTCATTTTTTACAAAGAGATTCTGAGAGGTTTAAAATACACTTTATCATTCGTACGTTGTGTTGACAGTTTGTGTTGGGAATAATTTGATGCTTAACATTACTGTATCACGTGATTCGTTTCCTGTATTATGTTTTTGCATATCGAAAAGTCATTTTCTTAACCAAAGATAATTAAGCTCCTTAATTACTCTCGAAAATGTTTTTCTTATCTGTACCCGATTACATATTTATTTCCTAATATTCGAGTACAATTTCGTCCGTGTATATACAAGTTCCAGCTTTGGTTAAGACTCTGCTTATTGTTTATGATGTGGTTAAGCTGTTAAATGATAGTAGCGTTAAATGCTTGGCTATACGTGGCAATGACTAGGCGAGCTAGAAGCATTTATTTGGGGCTCGTTCTATTCTCCTTTTAGTAGGCCAAACCAAAACCTAAGATTACCAAATCGCCAGCTAATTTGTTGGCGGAAAGGTAATACTTCATGTAGTGATTGTTTATAGCTAGCTATCGGTCATCATGATTTCCTCGGTGTGTGAATTATTTAGTGGGATGATCAAGATATTTCGCGTATTTCTACTCGTACTTATATAATTTTTTAACCATACTCTGTTTTCCTTGTTTCTTAAAAACGTAGGATTTAACATTTAATTTTTAAATTTTATTTGCAGATAATAGAAAATCATCGTGCCATTAAAGTGAATGCAAAAGCTTCATTTTCAGATGAGATTACAGTTATTTTAATAGGACTTCTAATATTTAGCTTGATTTTTAACATATTGACGTTTTTTAATACGTTCACACATTTAAAATATTTACTAGATGTAATTCTCACTGAGTTAATGAACGAATTATGATAAAATTTTGTAAACGAACTTGTGATCTTAAAAAAGTACATTAAAGTAGGAATTTTAAAATTTAAAATTCATATCCTACGACGTAGGACCTACGTGACATCTATTCTAATGCAGAGATATGTAAAATACTAATATTGATTAATCGATATCTAAATTATTTCATTTATAAATTATCGTAATTAATTGTATGATGTATGTGGCAATTTCCTGTCTTTATTCTCTTGTATAAACGTGCCGATAAGCTTGTTTAAAAAGTAGTATATAAATATTGACCTTCATGACACGGTGTGTGTTAAATTCTTGTTGATGTTGTATTATATTAACACTACTCAGACATGATAAATACGAAAAGTGATATTAAATGAAAACTTGAGACCTCAATTTCCGTCAGTATTATATTAAATGGCTATTGTGTCAGCACAATCCATTAACAATCGCCACGAGATAATAAAACTTTAACAAGCTTTTAATTGCTATTCAGCAAGCTTTCTGTCTTTTTTAGGAAAACGGTTTTAATATTTTATAAGAGAAAGAACTATTTATAACGATCCTTGACACTGTTTTAAGCCAGTGTTTTTATGACAAATAATTGTACATCATTGAAATGGATTGTCATCCAGTTGTACATACAGCTGTATAATTATTGACATTGTTGTCTGGGATCTCTATGACCGTTTTGGTTGAAATATTAAACCGCAACGTCATTGAAAACCCATTAACTGAATTTATTCGTATTCACAAAAAATGTATTCTCTTGGACAAATATTTGTGCATTAAACGTTAGCCTTGTCCAATTGTAAGAGGAAAAACTTCCCACATCCGGCAGACGAATTAATCGCTGGAAAACCTTGGTATTCTGTAGACAAGACAATTACATGAGCTGTTCTTATTTTATCAATGTATTTACAGTATCTGAATCTTGCTTATTCATACCACAGATGCCTGAATGTTATTCACATGACCATAATATATCTATAATATCTTCTTGACCGAGCTTTCTACAGTTCTATAACTTACTATTTAGGGTTATACACATGATGTGGAGTTTGGAGCTTCTATTAACCGTGATTTTACCCGCATCCGATATAACCTCAGTTTAAAAATTTATAAAGGTGTCCAAATAAGAATTATATGCAAATTACTCAAGAAAATTTATTGTGTGTATAGGAATAAAAAATCTGTATCTACAATGTAGGTGGTTGAAAATAAAGTTCTATTGAATAGTGCTAAACCTCCTTTATTACTTATTTCACTATTTTTGCCAAATGTGGCAACCGTTGTTGCCTCGTTAAAAGAACCACAGAAATATTTGAAAATTGTTAATCTGCAGCTGCATAATTATTTATTATGTTGTTATTCTTATAATTTATGTTGGCAAAATGTACAACAACTCAAATTGACATTTTGCGCTTTGTCAAAGATGGATGGAGACAAAATCATTTTATAAATTTTAGTCAAAAGATGTAGTCAAAAGATCTGTTTCATAAGTTGACATTAAATAATTTCTACGTACAACATGTTTGGCCGTTTAGTTAGGCTGTTATACTGGGGCGAGTTGTCCAAAGCTGGATTAACGCTGCTCCTGGGTTTGTTTATTTCTGCATCGCCATTTATTTTAAAACGTCAGAAAGTAAAACTTCTGTTCATCCAAACAATATCTCTGGGAAATTATTTCCAGCTTTTTAACAAGTTGTTGCTAACCGGCGTTCGAGCAACCGATTCCCAGTATTTACTTTTGCTTGTATTATAACTTATGACGTGAAATATTTCGTTTATCTAGAGGACTGGTGACGAGTTGCGGGAGACTTCGAGGAAACTTCAAATTCAACGCGAGAAACAGAAGGAAAACGCGAGACAAAAACACACGGAAGATAGTCGTGGACATAAACAAGATGGGTAAATATTTTTTAAAAATGCTGGAAGTGCGACCAGGATTGAACATAGTAATGATTTTTGAGACGTTCTCTGGTTGGAAATGTTTATTTTTCACAAGCTTTCGGCTACCAGACTGGCAGCCGAAAGTATGTGAAAAATAAACATTCCCAACCAGAGAACGTCTCAAAAATCATTATGGGTAAATATTTGTTTGTAGATGTACGTATAAATTATAATAGCGTGGTTAATTATTTTGAGTTCAATTTTAAAAACTGTACACGCGCAGTCATGTTTAAGACTCTGAAGATTGTACGCGCGAGAATAACAAGCTCCAATCTCGTACCCAGGCCAAATATACGAGATTGGACAAGCGCCACTTGGAAAACACACGACAGGTGAGTGGTGTTTTTTAAATTGAATATCTTTTTTCCTTTTTAGTTCCAGGTCATTGGACAGAAGGAAATTAACAGGAAATAAAAAACCTGCCACCGTTGTCAAAGTGTAAGAAGTGATTATTATACACTTAATGTCTGCTCCCGAGGGAAATAGTTTTGTTTTCCAGAGAATCTCAAACATTGAGATTTGAGGGAAAACAAAACTAACTATTTCCCGAGGGAACAGACATTCAGTGTTTTGTTATATAGCGTTGAACAAAAATCAACATTCATACGACAATTGTATTTCGTGACAAAAACTGTACAGTGTAAACGAGAGTTTAAAACGGTTTCAGCAGCATATCCTGTTGCCTGTTGTGTATTTTTCTTCTTTTTTACATTCTTTATTTGAACACAAAACTTGGAAAATCGTAGTTTCTAATTATACGAGTTGTGCCGCCATTTTGTTTATTTATGTACGTAACCAGTCGGGGCGAGCAACAATTTTTAACTTGTTGCCCGGCAGGATATATTGTATTTATCTAAAGCCACGTGACTACAAATCAGCCAATCACGTTTGGTGTTCACCCTTAGCTATATAACAATAACTGTTAATTCATTTAATCTGGAAAATCCCTTTGTAAAATATAACATGTTTAACTATGTAGAAAAAGATGACTGTTTTCAATTTAATTTTTTTCAGTATTGGCAGCGAAAATAAATCGAGCGTTGTAAAGAAAGTTGAAGTTACAACTAACTTGGTATGTAGAAAGATATGAGTTTATTCATGGGTTGTTTCTTATCTCTGCTCTGTAACACGTGCAGACGCCTCATTTCCATGATGTCATAACCGACATTATGTAAATCGTAATATCCATTCTGAGGAAATCTTTGTTAATGACTCAAAAAAGTTTCAAATTTAATTACGAACTTTGTTGACTATTGAATTAACTTGATATTTCAGGGAATGGATTCGCTGAGGGGAGTGGGGTGTGCAGCTCCCTAACCTTTGAAAAGGGGAGGGGTTGCAAGAGGGGAGTGCCAATTTCCTTATCATGTCCATTTATTTTCGATATGGAAATGCAATATCCTGTCACCTTACCACAATAAGGCCCCTGAACTCTACCAGATCTAGCTGTTGGGTATTGTATGAAAGAAGTAGTTTCCCTTTGTTTTTTTAAGAAGTAGTTTCCCCGTTGGCATCTCCATTTCTTTGACTCTGCGGTAGTCACCGAAACTGTCATGCACTTCAGTGGCGAACACTTGACTAGGGTGAATGGAGGAAAAACATCTCCAATGTTGTGTTATACTTGAATATTTGCGCCAGCCTCTGGCAACTGCTGATCCGCCATCACATGTTTTTTTTATGTCGACAGAAAGAAGATTTGCAAGACAGTCGGAAAGAAGCTAAATTGTCGAAGAAAAAATTAGAATCAGAAAAGAAGAAAATAAGAAAAGAAAGTGACGTATGTGAAAATGAATTACTATTTAACATTCGGGATAATATTGACCATAATATATTTAATCTAATCTGTTTTGTCTGTTCCATGCTTTCCATTAGAGTGATAGAAATAGTGCTGATGAGGAAAAAGGAGATAAAAATACTGAGGTTTGTGACAATGAAATATGATATAGAGATATTATATGTTTATTAACAAAAGTGCAATATTTCTTTCCTATGAATTAGTGCCAGTGGTTTGTTTCTTCCGCTAACCTTCGTATTTAGAGAGGGATTTTACTCTCGTTAATTTTGCGTCTGTTTTCTGCTTAATAGAACTTACCGTTCCCTGGAATACACAAACGATCCCAATTGGCCACGCCGACCTCAGGTACATAATTTTCTCTTCGTTTTTCGTACGTAAAATATAAATCTCGCGTGAATCAGTATCTTAAGATATCAAGCTTTATGTGATATACCGGTCTCCAGGTAGGTTTGTGACCCCATTCGTGCTGCTAATGGATTTATGATTTGGACAAAGCAGCAAATTGCAACAACAGTTCTAGAATATTTCAATGTTTATATATAGCGTATTCCACTTCGATCCCAAACTTTACTGTACGAAGAATGTATGAAAGTGTTCGGGAAGAATTTGAGAAAGTAGAATTGCTTAGAGAAGTAAGTATTCATGATAAAGATGATATATTTTGAAAGCAATACTAAATAGTTATATACAAACAACAATATATAGAGGGTTAAACACTTTGCAGAAAATTATAAGCTAAAGTAACTTTATACTCATACTGGATACGTTTTTCGGTTCTGTCTTGAATTAGATTGTTCAAAGTTCTTGCAAGAAATGGCCGTAATCCAGTGTTAACTACAAGAGCAATCCGGAATATCCTGAGAAAACCTGCTCTAATGCGACTCATGCTAAAGCCGATTTTCCACTTCGCCCGTATCGTACCGAAACGTACTGGTGAGCATGCGCAGATTGAAAAGAGGTTTATAAATCCACGTACTTCCGGGTGTATTCGCGTATCAAAATAAAACGTTTGTCGCAAGTCAACTTTTTGGCGTACTACGGAAGTACTAACCAATCAACATTCACGAAATTTTGAAATTTAAAAACGTTTTTGATACGTTTCGGTACGGTACGCTTGAAGTGGAAAACCGGCTAAGTCAGACAGCTGCATGCGGATTGCAGGAACCAAACGGTGAAAGTCACTTCTTCTCAAAACATCACCCAAATGCAATTTTGCATGTGCATGTATAGCAACAATGTCCAATATATCACTAATATATCAGAATATACTTTATTGCTGACTGGGAATAATATGGTTTGCCACTGTGTCACAAAGTTGTGTTTTTTCGTTTCTTAGGCAATTGAAAGTCGGTTAAGAGTCAGATTACCAGATGATATACCGGCATGCTTAGCGGATGGTACTGTTCTTTGCCATCTAATTAACTATATCAGGAAAGGAACGATACCAACGATATTCGTCCCCACCCCAAACATGGTAGGTCACTTACAGCTGTTCGACGCTATTTATTAATATTTAACAACTTGCTGTCCCTCAAAGTTATCCTTAAATACTATAATTCGTTTTTGTAAGGACCGCAATGAATATTAAATGTATAAACAACTGAATATGCTTGTTTTAATATAGCCTAAACTTACAATGAGCAAATGTCTAAAGAATGTGGACCATTTTCTCGCAGCCTGCTCAAAATTAGGAGTTGAAAGGGTGAGTAAATAATAATTTACGAGAAACAACATACCTAAGTACAGTATCATCCCATATCTAGTTTAGAATTTCATTTTGGAGATAATTCCAATAAACGACACAGTGCAACTGTGATCACTTCATAGTGGTCACAGGTTCCTATCGAATTTATAGACTGCGTCTTTTCGTACGTTTTTAATAAGACAATCATTGAACGTGCTGTGTTTATTTAAGGATAAACTATGTAGCCCATCGGACATAGTGCAAGAGAAAAATCCTGGCAATGTTTGGTTAACGGTTGAAGCTCTACTAACAGAAACGATGTCAAGTTAACATCAGCCGAACAAAGAAATGGTCTTACGTCATCTCGCTAACACAAGCCAGTCGTGGACTAAAGATATATTGAACAATGATATTCGCTCCATGGATGTTGCCTCAGTCTAGTTTTTACTAAAATGTACAGTAGATATAAATTTTACATTCTCATAGAAATACTTACTTGTATTTAATAGAGACAGCTTAAAAATAGACTTCTGAACGTAGTCAACACAGTGTTGAATTACGGATCAACTTGGCCCACGTCAGGTGTATAAAGAACTAAAATAAGTAAAAATAATGGCAAAGAGGTGCTTTACTGTAACTGTGCATGTAGGCTGATTTAGATTCAAGACGACAATGCGACAAGGATGATCAACAAACATGGCACATCAACTTGTGCTATTTCAGTTTTCTTCTAATGGGCTCGATGTATTACTGGAGTGGTATCTAAGGCGCGTAAAATGAGAATGCTGGATGCCAGTCTCAGTCTTTTCCGGTCGATTCTGCTACCACCATCTTTAGCTTCTCTTTTTAGTCACATTGTTGATTGATGTTCTTTCTCCAGTCACGCGATGCATGTTCACTCCTTTTTTCATGTCAGCAAACTATGTCATATTCACTTACTGTCAATATACTGAACGCATCCTCATGGTTTTGTCAGCCTGAATCTAAATTTGGCAAAAGTTTATGATAATGATGTTAATTAAAGTCTAATATTAATAATGATGGTACACCAATGAACAAGGTTAAAAAGTTACATAAGAATTTAATAGCCGTCAGTGCACATTTCCACAAATTTTAAAATTAATAGTCAATGGAGTTGTAGTTGTTAAAAATCCTCATAACTGGAAATGTATTTTAAATAAGAGATTTGTTGAGTTTCTGTTAAATGCAACACAATGTCGGTTTAATTCCTTAGTGTTCTTGCCAAAGTGCACTGAAATATATATAGATCAAAAATTATCAAGATATTAAAATAATAGTCACCTTTTTAGAGAAAATTTGTTATACTAAGGCTGAAAAGACTGAATTCACAATAAAAGGTAACAAATCAAACGTGTTCGATTATATAGAAAAATCATCTTCAGGATATATGTATCCTGACTATATAGTCGAAAACGTTTGTTTCACCTTTCTTAAATTTAGTTTTTATGCCTCTAATTATATGTGCAGAATAATGATAGTTTTCATATATTATTTAGTAGGAAATAAATATTCGTATGAGTTGATCATAATTATTTAAATTTTGACATGCTTACCTTTTCTTAATCGCCGGCTATAGATAAACGGACATGCCTTGCGGTTATTTCAGATGCCGTGATTAATATCAGAAACCTGTGAAATTCCAAATGCAGGCGCGCTGATCGGCGTTGCGGAACAGGACTGGCATGAACGTGCTTTTGAACGAAACCAACTGGCTATCAAAGGACTGCGATTTTCTAGTGCTTTCGGGCAATCGCGTGGGTACGACTGGCTGTCGGGCAATTGGACCTACTGCACACACAACGAATCTTAGATGTAGTTTTATCACATTTCCAGTGAGGAATGCCAGAAAAAGGACTTTAATAATAATAATAATTACAATTTATATAGCGCAAATTAGCATTTATATATGATCAAATGCGCTGTACAATAAAGTATTAAAATAGTTAAAATTGAAGTATACCTATCTATGTATTTATGTCAAAAGCTAATCTAAATAAATGTGTCTTTAAACTCTTTTTAAAACTGTTAAAACTGTCCGTATTTCTAATGTGACATGGTAACATGTTCCACAGTTTTGGGGCAGCAGATGTAAATGATCTGTCTCTCAATGTTTTCTTGAATCTAGCCCTTGGCTGTGCAAGCAGTAAACCTGTATTATTAGATGACTTGTCTCTGATACATATCAGATCACTTATATAATCAGGAGCAAGTCCGTGAATTGCCTTAAAGGCGAGAATAAGAACTTTAAAATTGACTCGATACTGAACAGGTAGCCAATGTAAAGTATACAGTACAGGTGTTATATGTTCGTATCTGGAAATATTGCAAATTAGTCTGGCAGCAGAGTTCTGTACACGCTGTAGTTTGTTTAGATGGACGGATGGTAAACCATACAAGAGGCTGTTGCAATAGTCTATGCGCCCAATGATAAACGCATGAACTAAGGTTTTTGTTGCTACGTCAGATAGATACTTTCGAATATGTCTGATGTTATGAAGTTGAAAATGTGCAGCCCTACAAGTTTTATTGATATGTTCTCTCAAATTTAAGTTCGAGTCGAACCACGTCCCAAGATTTTTTACGATAGGCACAGGAGACACCCTTGAAGAACCAACCATCAGGTGATCAATGTTGACTTTCTCTAATTGTGGTTTAGTTCCGATTATCATAAACTCCGTTTTTTCGTCATTCATCTTCAGTTTGTCAGCAATCATCCACGTTCTGATATCCTTTACACAAAGTTCCATTGATTCTACTGCCGCATCCTGATTCAATTCGCTGTCTGGCTTAAATGCAAGGTATAGCTGTGAGTCGTCTGCGTACGCGTGAACATCCGGAAGATGAGTTTTTATGATCTGAAACAACTTACTAGCGTATATTGTAAATAGCAACGGTCCTAAGCAAGAACCTTGTGGAATACCTTGTTCCAGGGAGAAACTGTCCGAAACACAACCGCTAAGAGTCACGCGTTGTGTTCTGTTTGATAGGTATGATGAAAACCAGTTCAAGACATTTCCTTTAATCCCAAAACTAGACTGCAAGCGTGAAATAAGGATGTCATGGTCCACAGTGTCAAACGCGGCGCTCAAATCCAGGAACACCAACAAGGTTACGTTCTGTTTATCCATATTGAGAAGAATATCATTCTGTATCTTGAGGAGAATGGTCTCCGTGCTGTGTCCCTTGCGATATGCTGATTGTAAAACAGGATAAAGTCCAAACTGCATCATGTGGTTATTCATCTGCTCGAAAACAGCTCGTTCTATCAACTTCGATACATACTGAAGGTTACTAATTGGGCGAAGATTGCAGAATTCCAGATTCAACCCCTGGTGTTTTAACAATGGAACCACAAGTGCTTCCTTCCACTCTTCAGAAAATTTCCCAGATGCAAGGGATAAATTAATTATGCGAGTTAGGAAAGGGATTCACAAAGAATCACGCTGCTGTCAGCCCTGAAGGTAAAATATAGCAATAAATTATAATTACTACATTTATGTAAACGTTGTGCATTCCTTTTTATATGCAACAACAGAAATTCCCTAAATTTTAATTTCAAACTTTGATATTTCTTCAGACTTGTACGACATATATCATAGTCGACATCTTGACCCTGATGCAGGACCAAGAGCTCTTCAAAACAAGGTTCAGTGGGACATACGATTCTATTTTGAACGCAGAGGATCAGAGAACATGTACAATATGACGAAGACAACATTTACCATCAAAATGGACGAAAAGACAGGTATGCAGTATGTTGTGAAAGTTGAAGACGAAGCTACAAAAAACCACAAGCAAAACGAACATGACATTGTAAAAGGCAACTTAGGGGCTAGGACGACTTGAAGCGATTTTTGGTCCCGGAACAGGCCCTATACATGCAATTGAATTTACAACCTTTATTATTAAGCATCGACTATAAAATTATGTAATATTCAACAACATACTATTCTACAACTGTATATATTACTAACAACAGGGGCACTGATAAGTCATTGCTTTCCTAATTATGTTCATTTAGTACCAGCTCTTTTAAAATAATTATATAACCGTTCTGTTGTAAATATATACATATATAGCATACCATGAAGAATTCACTTCAAAGCTCTGATAAAGCTAGATAACATTTATTTTTAAAAAATTTCAAATGTCATAAAATCCTTTATAACTATAGAACTAGTCTTCTTCATTGAGTTTGAATTAAGCTTGCAAAGTTTTAGTAGTTTATCATTACTTTTCAATTTATAATGTTTGTTATTACAGAACCATTACATTGTGTTGCGTTACATTACATTACATTACATTACTCATGAAGTGCATATCACACAAAACTGATTTTCATTATTGAGACGTTAGACTTTAACTAGTGTTCACCTACACGAAAACGAGGCTCTATATAGCGAAGTGATATACTTTCCGGAAAGGTGAATTAAGTATTCACTGATGCCTCATTCATGAATTACGTTTTAGTGGATTGCATTGCTTTTTTAAAGAAAAGAAAATATCTCAATAATGAAACATGGAAATAACGATCTATACAAGAACTTGCTCTACGATTGTAAAGGCCTGTTTACACTTGCAATGCGATCGCGATTTTATGTGCGATGTTCTTCTTCTGATGAACGTGAACGAGTGGAAGAATTATGAATGTTGAGATGAAGGTACAAATACTCGGAACATTCATACTCATGTACTCGTTCACATCCATCAGAAGAAGAACATCGCGGCAAAAATTGCAAGTGTAAACAGGCCTTTCTTTTTAGGCAATAAACAATTTTGTGTCATACGCACGTGTTCTAATATTTCATAGTCTAACTTTGCTAATATTTGCATCGACCGGATGTCGTAATTATCATCTGTAGTAATTATTGCTACAAATTTCATTTCTGATGATTTTCCAGATGCCGTTTGCGGATCTTCGTGCGATTTACAATTCCCAGATCTTTCAAACTTCCTGGAATGTGAATCCCATTCCAATTTTGGATCAATTTCTTCATAAACATGCTTCATATCCATTTCGATTCGTTCGTGTATTACAAATTTCTTGATCTGAGGTTGTAAATTTGGCGGTGTCATTGGGATGACATATTCACTGTGAACTTCAGATAATTGTTTGTTTAGGAATAAACTAGGATCCGCAAATTCTTGCTTGAAGTTTGAACACCATGCTGGCTTAACTTCTTCATAACTATTTGAATAATTTGTCTCTGTTCTCCCAGGTTTTGGAGAAACGTGGGGCTGACTTCTCGGCGCAGTACTTCGTACAAGACTCGGTAAGGTGTCGGGTTGCGGTCGTGAGACGGTTGTCATAATATTGGAAGAATCGTGTATCTTTACACGGCTTATTTTCTGGAACACATTTGCTCTCTCTGAAATGTTTTTGCTGTCGAAACCTGCGTGTAGCGTTTGAAGAAAATCTTCATAATTCTCACCATTTTTAGTGAAACGTTCTGCGACTGCGCAGCGGATGGGTAGGTCAGTCGGTAGACCTATATAGTGCGTTAGTTCACCCATCCCTCCCCCTACGGTAGTTGCGATAACTTTAACTTCAGTTACCACTTTATGAAAGACCACTTCGGTGAGACCTGTTAACGCGCTGTTCCACTGATCCGAGTTTTGATCAGCCTGCGAACGGGTGCTTACAAAGCACACCCTCGATGGCAGCCCGTAGTTGGTTACAACTTTCGAGAGTGTATATTTCTGGCAGTTCAGCAAGGGGCTAAAAATCGCCGGGGAGTTGTAGGATAGAGTCATGTCTCCTTTGGTGTCAGTGTTCTGACAAAGGACACTTCTCTTTTTTCTGTCAATCTTTTGAATTTGTATTATGTCACCAACTTTGAACGTGCTTTCATTATTGGCATTCCTTGATTGAGGCCCGAAGCTTTTCACTCGTACGTATTGTATGTTAGGAAAAATGGATTGAAAATTTTCGACTTTACATGCTATGTACTTACATTTGGACGGGCAGACTAGGACTTGTGTTGGGCACGACAATGCAATAGCTACTTGCGTATCCGAACTGTCCGTACCAATTAGCTTCCGTACTGAATGTATTTCGTGCAAGGCCAGTATCTGTTCGTCATATAAGATTGTGTCTTCGTTTTTGCTGCAGAAGCCATCCACGACTCGAACAATCTGAGGCAGTGGGTATTCTTTGAGAAGTTTTGACAAATTCGTCTGTGTTTTACTCCAAATGAACGGCGATTTAATGAGTTCCGTGTCGTTTGCCATTGTACGCTGATAACTCGCCAAATAGATCTGAACTGAATTGTGCTTTGAATAGTCGCCAATGAATTGGTCAGAACAACTTTGCCAGTGGAAGATATCACAACTAACTGGTTCAGACAGAAGCAGAATGATAAGTGCTCAATTTCTGTAACCGTCAACGTACTTACGTACTTGTAATGAT